CGGGTCCACTGGTGGAACCTCTTCTAACCGGTTCAGTAGATTTGACGAACCGGTTCTACCAAATAGGAGCGAACTGGTAGGAACTCACCTCTGGACTCCACTAATTTCCTCTCCCTATTTATCTCTCTATCCTTGACATTAGAACAATTGATTGGTCTCTGCCTTCCATTTTCACTTTTTACTCTCTTCAACAGGAGAGGGAAATCTACCCAAGCTCTGTTCCCAATGCCAGAACCAGCTGCAGGAAAGCCCATCTCAGCTGTTGCCAGCCCTTTTCCTAAGCACCGCTCAATGTTGCAAGAATGGAAAACAGACTTGTCTTCAGGTTTATGTGGCTCTGAACTCTACAGGTATGTTAAGTGTTGAAGATGGGGACAAGATTGCTGAAGAGCAGCCCAAGTTGTTGAGGGTGCAATATTTGGGGGGAATCTTCCTAGAACATTTGGAGGGTTATAGGTCAGGTTGGAATGGGAACGCCTTTCTAAGGAAAAAACTTGAATACATTATTATATTTATTTATTTAATTTTTACATTACAGTATTTACTTAAAATGGATGCAGTGGCTCAGTGGCTAAGATGCTGAGCTTGTCGACCAGAAAGGTCAGCAGTTCAGCGGTTCAAATCCCTAGTGCCGCGTAATGGAGTGAGCTCCCATTACTTGTCTCAGCTTCTGCCAATCTAGCAGTTCAAAAACATGTAGCAATGCAAGCAGAGAAATAGGAATCACCTTTGGTGGGAAGGTAACAGTTGTCCTGGGACTGGAGTGCTCTGCAGAAGGATAGAAGGAAGAGGTTTGGATGTCTTCCATATACACAACTGGAATTTGGACTACTCCATCCATTCTTCCCACTGAGCTAGAAAATTAAACAAAGCGAAATGATGCTGAAAAAGAATGACCCTTTTCTGGTTTCAATAAAGTTGAAAAGAATTGTGACATAGTAATACAGGAAGCAGTTTACCAATCTTATGTCAGTGACCATAGAGATCAGTCACCTTATTAGGTGCGTATAAATTTCATAAATCAGTAGATAAATTTTGGCATGGGGACAAAAAAAACCCCACCTTTAAATAGCACAGCGCTGTTTTTCCATTGTTAAGTTAAAGAGATGTCATAAATCCATAATTGTGGAGGTAGTCCTCAACTTATAACCACAGTTGGCAACAGAATTTCCAATGCTAAGCAAGACACTTGTGAAGTGTATCATTCCCAGTTTTACGACCTTTCCCTGTGATCGTTGTTAAGTGAATCACAAGGTTATTTAGCAAATCCAGCTTCCCCCATTAATGTTGCTTGTTGGAAGCCAGCTACCATGTTTCCCCAAAAATAAGACATGGTTTTGTTTGTTTTTCAACCCCCGAAATAAGCGCTTGGCCTTATTTTCTGGGAGGTCTTATTATTTTTGAGCTGCAGGAGATGGCGAGCGGGGTTACCTCATAGTGGCTGCTATGTTGCAATATTTTTGGGGAAGGCTTATTTTAGCGCATGCGCTCAAAAGCCCGATTGGGCTTATTATCTGGGGATGGCTTATTTTCAAAGAAACAGGGTAGGAAGATCATAGATGGTGGTTACATGACATAAATCACTTGTTTCGGTGGCGTTGTCACTAAACAAATGGTTTGTGTAATTTCCTTGATGATGGAACTGAACTACCTCTTTCCAGCAAAAAGCAACCCACCTGATTTGGTTGGGCCATGTCAGAACCATCGCCCATCGCCCTGGTTGAAAATGTATAGAGTTTGTAAATGGAGCACCTATTTTGGGGGAGCAGCCTCTGTTACACAAGGGTGCTCTCAGGTTCAGCTTAGGGTCACTCACTCACACACTCACGGGCCTGGAAAATTTCCACACTCAATCACAAATGAACTGAACACTGAGGCACAAATGGTTCTTTAAAATACAGAGACCCAGTGAATTTAAAATAACTGCAAACTTTTACTGATATACCATGTTTCCCCCCCAAAATATGATATATCCTGAAAACAAGCCCTAGACTGATTTTCATTCCTGCATCTAACGTATGTTCTACCCCCCCCCAAAAGCCCTAGTTAAGCCCGGCCCACTCTGTCTACCATCTGATTGTACGGTTCACCCACAAATGCTCGAACGACAAAAGCGCGCCTGACTAAACCGCGGTGACAAAACCACGAGTTCTAAAGCGCGCCGACGAATAAGCGCTGAAGCGCGCTGACAGAAGCGAGCTGTAACCCTAACCCTAACCCTAACCCTAA